AAAGAGGTACTTTTCTCCCTTTCTCACAATACAAGAACTCATGGGCACTCCATGGAATTGCTGAGCTGTCGGGTTAGAACGGATAAAAGGAAGTACTTCTTCACCCAAAGAGTGATTAACACTTGGAATTCACTGCCACAGGAAGTGGTGGCGGCTACAAGCATGGACGGCTTCAAAAGGGAATTAGATAAGTATATGGAGCAGAGGTCCATCAGTGGCTATTAGCCACAAGGTATAGATAGGGACTCTGGGGCAAGTGATGCTCTGTCATCTTGGTGCTTGGGGGGGGTCAACAGTGGGAGGGCTTCTAATGTCCTGGCCCCACTGGTGGACCTCCTGATGGCATTGGTATTTCTGGCCACTGTGTGATACAGAGTGTTGGACTGGATGGGCCTTTGGCCTGATCCAACATTGGCATCTCTTATGTTCTTATGTTCTTAACCTGAATACTGAGGTTTTACTTTAGAAAAAACAACTCATACATTAACTTAAGAGGATCCAAACAAAGTAAGGAAACCAATCCCAAATTCTTTCATTTACTTTAAATTATTTGGCAGAGAGAATTCGACACTTTAATGATGGTCTGGGCCTGGCTGGGGCGATGGCACGCGTGCCCACAGAGAGGGCTCTGAGTGCCACCTCTGGCCCCCGTGCCATAGGTTCGCCACCACTGTCCTAAGGCAAAGCCCCAAATAACATGGCCAGGAATCCGGAACTGGTATTTAAAGGGAAAAGGAAACTGGAGTCCCTGTGAGGGATCTGAAGCCCACCGCCGTCCCGGTAGCTGTGGGAAGTCAGTATTCCCTCAGGTGACCCCTGTATTCCTGTCAGACGCCTGAGGAGAGGTTTTGCACAGGAAGCGAAGCGTGGTCCAGAGGAGGACCCCAGAGGGGGTTGGGGTGTGGGGGGTGTGGAGAGGAGGCCTCTCACCTGGATGTTGGCAAGCTCCACGGCATTCATGGACAAAACGGGGAGCGTTTCCAGTTTGTGCTCCCCCTCAGCAGGATAGCGGTTTTTCTGTGCAGGGAAGAAAAATGGGAATCAGCTAATGGCAGGCCCTGCCGCCCAACTGCACAGGAGGGCAGGGGAAGCAGAAGCCTACATTTTTTTAAAGAACAAACACGTTTTAAATTTCTTTTTTTGGGGGGGGGGAATCTAACTTGCGGAAAGATTCTTCTTTTACTTTCAAAGGGGCTCTTTGTACTTTCTTTCAGTCTTTCTCTTTTGAGGAAGGGAGACCCCAGAGGAAGACAACGGAGCTTCCAGCCACCATCTAAACCTGACACCTCTCCTGGGGGTGTCGCTGGCTGGGCCAGAAGGCAAAATGCCAACCTCACCGCCAGCTCTTCGCTGAGCTGCCCCCCACCCCACCCCAGGCCCTCCCCCTGGACTCCAGGGCTGGCCCCAGATTCTGAGGGGCTCTGGGCAGAGAGCGCCCTGCCCCTCCCCACCTACCACCAGGCCTCCCTCTCATGCCCTCCTACCCACCCACTGACCCACATGCCAGCGCATCCTTCCCCCGCCCTTTCATGGGCCCGCTCACCAGCTGCACTCACAGAGGCCTGCGCCACCCACACGCCCATTCTCTGACGATGCTGGGCAGCACGTACCGCTCTCAGCATGGGTGGCAGAGTGCTTACAAGCAGTGTTCCCTCTAAGCTGAGTTAGTGTGAGCTAGCTCACAGTTTTTTAGCCTCCGGCTCACCCATCTTTGTCTTATCTCAGGAAGGATGGCTCCAGAGCAAACTAACATATGCAGTAGCCAAATCGCTCGCTCACAATTTTAATGCCAGGAGCTCAGAAAGTAGAATTTTTGCTCACAAGACTCCACAGCTTAGAGGGAACATTGCTTACAAGCAAGCTGGTGGGGAAAGGGCATGTGGGCAGCAGGGGAGGCGTCAGTGGCAGTGAGTCCCACCCACCCAAAGCCCTGGGCCCCGGCAGCTGCTGCCCCCCCACCTCAGGGGACGCCGACGCCAGCCCTGCTTGGCTCTGTGGACAGGTCTGAGTTCGAGCAGAGGTGGCAGGACTTACAAAGTGATTGAAGAGGTTCTTGGTGTCACTCAGCAGGTTCCTGGCCAGGTTGACGATGGAATCGAACTCGGCTCGGGGATCCGAAGGCCGTAGCCGGGGGCCGGGCACAGCCCAGAAACCCTCACACAGGCTCAGCAGCATCACCAACACTCGGCACAACCAGTCTGGAGAGAGACAAAAATCAGAGTAAGGCCTGGCCTTCCAATTCTGGGCAGATCCAAGTGCAGGGCAGACAGCAACACGCGGCCCAATTCCCCTCATGCATCTCAGGGTCTCTGGCCCTTTCCTGGCCCTCTGGGCACTTTGCGAGTCTTGTCTGTCGTCACGGTTTGGCCTCCTGTCTGTAATCTCTAGAAGCTAAGTCTCCGTCTCTTGGGTGGATGCATCTTGCCCCTAGGAACATACATAGATACATGCATGCGCATGAGCACCCAAGGGGCCACGCGGTGCACACCCTCCAGAATTTGAGGCAGAACTCCCTGTATGGTGGTAAAAGTATAATAATGAATTTTCTCCCCTTTAACAGTAACCAACTGCGCCAGGCTGCCCTGCTGTGCTCCTCCTGAGTATCTCTTTTGTTTGTAAGTGTGGCTGTTGTCCCTGCGGGAGAGTAAGTGACAGTTTAAAAACCAAATATGCACCTTAACCGGTCTCAGGTTTGCATTGCACTCTGTGGGGACTCGAAGCTGCACTGCTGGGGCATTCGTCTGCAAGGAAAGGCCCCCGGGGTTTGCCACAAAGGGACCAGAGGGGAGGGAGGAACGGCCCAGGGGTGCCCCGCAAAGCGTCTGGCAAGAGTATTGAGCATCGGCTGGTTGGCAGAGAGACGGGGAAGGAGGGGCTGGTTGGTTAGGGAATTCCTGCCCCGTGACAGAGTCATCCCGGCGCCTTTGCCGTGAGGTAAGGAAAAAAGAAGCCGGGGCCGGTATTCGGAAATAGTGATGCTGTCGAAGGAGGGAGGGGTAGAGGAGGGGGTGAGTCAAGGTGTTTTCATGGAAAAGCCATCCTATGTTGTCTTAGAGAACGGGCTACAGATTTTTCCCTCGCCAGGAGCCAGGGACTTGGCCTGCGTTTCAAAGAAGGGCTTTATCGCCCCCGGGATCAAAAAATGTTCACTGATTCATGGATGTGATCAGAGGGGCCAGTTTGTTAGATCTGCATACAGAACCTCTGACTTTTCATTGGCTTTTTGCCAGCACTGACCCTTGTGAAAAGGGAATCTGGGAGAAGGTGGCCAACTTCTTCTTTTTCTGCTGGCCCTGCTCCTGTGCTTTGACCTGTGGGAACTGACAGGCGATTGTCTTTATCTCCATGTTGTGAAAAAGGCTACACCTGCTGGATCCTGCAGATCAAGATGCTACTGAAGGCCCAGGAGCGCAGGAGGTGTGCGTTGTCCTGGTCAGGTGGCAACCAATGCTCCCTCTAAGCTGGTGGAGTCTTGTGAGCAAAAATTCTACTTTGTGAGCTACTGGCATTAAAGCTGTGAGCAAGTGATTTGGCTACGGCACAAATTAGTGTGCTCTGGAGCAATGCTCCCTCTAAGCCATGGAGTCTTGTGAGCAAAAATTCTACTTTGTGAGCTGCTGGCATTAAAGTTGTGAGGGAGCGATTTGGCCACTGCATAAATTAGTTTGCTCTGGAGCCCTCCTTCCTGAGCTAAGACAAAAATGTGTGAGCCGGAGGCTAAAAAAACTGTGAGCTAGCTCACACTAACTCAGCTTAGAGGGAACACTGCTCTGGAGCCATCCTTCCTGAGCTAAGACAAAAATCTGTGAGGTGGAGACTAAAAAACTGTGAGCCAGCTCACACGAACTCAGCTTAGAGGGAACACTGGTGGCAGCCCTGATTTGATACCATGATTTGGAGCCATCTATGGACCCCGCTTCACTCCGCTAGCACTGACAGTTATTTTCATAGCTGAAGCGCAAACTTTTCCTTTTAGTTGCTCACTTATGAAATTGAAATCCAGTTACCAACACTGGCTAGACCAGTGATTCTTAGCGGGGTCCATACAACCCCCCCCGGGGGGGGGGCAATCTGCGAACTGGGAGAGGGTATTCAGAACTTTGGGGGGAGGGTAGCAGAGGGGAGTTCTTTTACCCCGCACACCTTGCCCTGAGGATGAAATCCCAGATCCTGGATTTCTCCCGCGGGCCCTTTAAAAAGCGGCACGGAGCAAACAGGAATCGAGCCGAACGTTCAGGAGTTGGCGGCCGGCCCTCCGGCACAAGGGCCTCATTGAACGCATGCCTGAGATCTGTGTATCGTATGCACGTATCATAAATATACCTAAATACATAACGTTGCCTTGTCTGGAATGCTGGTTTTATGTCCTCATTTTTTTGACTTGTGGTTTGCGGAGCGTTCGATGATAATGTGGAGTACTTGGGCCGGCCGTGGCGGATTCAGAGCTAAGGGCCGCTGGACTAGACGGCAGATTGTAAAACTGCTCTCGCCTCTTCTGCGTCTTTTGCACAAAACACCCGAACAGCAAAAGAGGGGCTCAGATGGGGAAAGACCCTCATGGTTGCGATCTGAGGAGGACTCAGTGGGAACTCCTCTTCAAGGACACATGCATCATCTGGTACACTGGCTTTTGCAGACAATGAGGGGTCAGGCCAGGCAGTATTACAGAGATTGTTCTTCCAAGCACCAAAAACTGGGTTGAGTCACCCATGAAGCAAGACAGTTGATTGACAATGTGTTTATTTAATTCGTTTGTACCCCACCTTTCTCTCCAGTGGGCCCAAAGCAGCTTATGTTATTCTCCTCTCCTTTATTTTTATCTTCAAAACAACCCTGTGAGGTAGGTTAGGCGGAGAGCGTGTGACTGGCCTGAGGTCACCCAGTGAGCCTCCATGGCGCGAGCGGGGATTTGAAAGAGCTGGTTTCCCCTTGTTTCCCCCCTCTATAAACAAGAATTCCTCTAGATGTAGCTTTCCCCATCACATGTGATCCAACAGGTTATACCTGACAGACTTTCCCCTGTCCTGGAGTGGTGGTGGGGAAATGTGTGTGGACCTGACTGCCTTATGAAGAGGCTGGCTGGTAGGTTGACAACTGAGGGAATTTGGGGGGGGGGAGGTGGGGAGGAAGGAATCCCCTGCCAAGTTTCTGTTCTGGGCAGGCACGTACCCTTTCCTTTTTTAATAAATGAAACACGGAATGATTAAAATGTGGAATTCGCAGCCAGAGGATGTAGTGATGGCCACGGGAATAAAGAGCTTTAAAAGGGGATTGGACAGATTCATGGAGGACAGGTCTTATCATGCCGACGAGCCGTGGTGACTGAAGGGAACCTCCATGTTCAGAGGCAGTCAACCTCTGAATCCCAGAGGCAGGAGGCAACATCAGGGGTAGGCCTCGACCTCCATGCCCTGTTGTCGGCCCTCCAGAGGAAATGGCTGTCCGCTGTGTAAGACAGGATGCTGGACGAGATGGACTACTGGTCTGATCCAGCAGGGCTCTCGCTGTCTATCCTGAATTCCTTCACAGCCTTCCTTTCCCCCTGCCTGCCCCCTAACCAGTGTTCCCTCTAAGCTGAGTGAGTGTGAGCTAGCTCACAGTTTTTAGCCTCTCACATTTTTCTCTTAGCTCAGGAAGGATGTTTCCGGAGCAAACTAATTTATGCAGTAGCCAAATCACTCGCTCACAACTTTAATGCCAGTAGCTCACAAAGTAGAATTTTTGTTCACAAGACTCCACAGCTTAGAGAGAGCATTGCCCTTAACCTATTTGTCTTCCCAGATCTGAGGCCGTGGCTTGTGCTGCACGCATCGAGTCCTGGTTTCAACCCCTGGGGGCATCTCTGGTTGAAAGACTGCAGGTTGCAGGGTTAGCCAAGACCTTTCTTGACTCCAGATGTCAAAGACCCTACAGGAGGATGGGGAACACATGAAGCTGCTTTATACTGAGTCAGACCTTTGGTCTGTCATGGTCAGACTTGTCCACGCTGACTGGTCGTGGCTCTCCAGGGTCACTGGCAGAGGTCTTTCACTTCACCTGCTGCCTGGTGATGCTGGGAATTGAACCTGGGACCTTCTGCATGCAGAGCAGATGCTCTACCACTAAGTCACAGCCTCTCAAAAGCCAGAGCAATGGGCTTGGCAGACCAACGATCTAATGAGGCAGCTTCAGTTGTCCCTGTCTGCTCCAGTAAACCTTTCCTCCTTGGCCCAAGAAGAAACCAAGGCAAGGCTGGAGTCATTATAGCAGGATCAACTGCAACCGACAGATGGAATGAAAACAAAGCATCGGACATTATTAGGGGAATAAAATCCCATATATTTATAACCATCAGGCTGGTTCACATAATCCCAGTTCCAGAAATACTGAACGTGCAAAGGAGTGCGTGGGTTCACACACACACACATACATACAAACACACACACACACACACACAGAGGGCCCCCTCCTGGATACCGTAGAAGATGGATCTTGGTCTGATCCAGCCAAGGCACTCTCTGTGCTGTTATCAACACTGGCTTTGTTCGCATGCGATTGCTTTTCTAGTTTAAGGGAGCTGGGAATACAGGGTGGCTGTAATCTGCCCTGAATTTCTTGTGCAGAAACCACGGGACACGGGAAGTTTAAACGAAGACATATCCCAGGGGCAATAAGTGTGAATCCATCCCTCCATCCACTTAGTCGGTGTAACTTCTCTGCAAACTCAGAGCAGAGCGGACAGAGCAGGCTTTGGTGTCCCCCCACCCCGCACTGCCTTGTAAAGCAGTGAACCAGGGACTCTATTAAACGGCCCTTTCCCCCAAACAACCCCACCCTGAAAACCACCGACCCTTCAGCTGCTCCACCTCCTGGCGTGACAAACACAACCAGAGATCAATGGAGGTGACACAGCACTGAATCTACCAGGGGATGCCTTCCTGTGCCTGTCATGGAGACTCCTGCGCAAATGCATCTGGGGATCAACTGGCGAGAATCTCGCCTGCGGGGAGGGAGACTCGGGGAAGGGGCTGGAGAAAAGGATGACTGGACGACGGGCAGGCAGGCAGGTAAGGTTCTGGTCTACTGAGTCAGACCAATGGATCCGGCGGAAGAGAGTCTGCATGACCACGGAGGGTGGATATCGCGAGCCTCTCTCGGCAGGCTGTACATGAGGTCTGGCAGGTAAATGAATAGGTGCCAGGGCTCTTTTTGTAGAAAA